CCACTGCAATGCCACACCTGCAAGTTGGTCACACCATTGGTTCTGATATAATATTCATAGCTCCAGCCTCATTCAATGATTATTTTGTCCCGTTCAAATTTGAACTGCCTTGTCAACAAACTAATATGATTGATACCAACAACACCGACTGCACTGATGTTTGGATAGCTCAGCAGGTGTCCTGTCTGGAGCCTGAAGCTCTCATTCCTTTATTCACCCCAAAGTGCCCTAATGGCTTCATTTGCACTCCATTACATTTCACATCACAAAGACGTGTCATCTTAAGAAAACAACATCTTGGTTTACAGATAATACATGTGGTATAACAACCTAATGAGTGTCAAACAAGATCTTCCTGATGCTAACGCAAGACATGTCACAGAACTGTTTAACACTGATAAAGATCACTGTGAGTTCAGTTTTGACATTGTGGCAAAAATGATTCAGAGACTGTTCTTTGTGCTCAGCTCTGTGTACAAACAATCTTTAAACTTTAATCAAAAAACTGCCTTCATCTGTGTACACCCAGTGCCTTGAGTCCATCAACATATTCTCTCAGTCTCACACAGTCTCCCTTGATACCTTCAGAAAATTAGCACTCATCACTAAAATAACACCATGCCTATTCAACCCTCTTCGTGCTAAAATTCCTCCTGTTAGATATTAGGACCCAGTCGCTCGCTATCATTAATGCCCCTTTCTGCTCTGTTCTTCGCCTTTAGAGGAGCAGTAATTAAACACCTGCTCGAAATATCACAGAGTAATTCTGATGTGTTTCATAATTACAGGCCAGTTTCAAATTTCCCCTTTGAAATTTCTGAAAAAAAGAAAATAGCAGCCATTCAATTAAGCTATTATGTATCCAGGAATGGTCATTTAGAATTGTCTGGCCTCAGGTCTTTATGTAACATTAAGACCAGCTTAGTCACAGTTTGCTTCTCTGCAACATTTACTTACATCAAGGCAACCCTCGTATCCATCAGCTCTACCTCAACTCTTTATTGTGGAGATCTCCTGTCTCAGTGAGGAGACAGGTGCTAGAACCAGTGGTTAGTTCAACCACATCCCACACCCCTTAACTGCATGTTTAAAGTTTGTTGTCTTCTCCTAACCTTCCTAGAGCCTTATGAGAGCCAACTTTCAACTAGAGTTGGATTGATTTCTGGTTTTGTCGGATCAGTCTGGTGTACAAGCTTAAACCTGTTTGATTTTATGCAAACCAACTGAACCAGCATTTGTCATTATAACTGAATTTTGGCAAATTCAAAAGTAGCCTACGCCCCACAGAGCTACAACCAACTAAAATTGCCTAAATAATAAGCAGTATGACAAAATGATTAATATAATAGGCCTATTATGTTTCTAAACGGACTAATGAAGCCACCAGTGACTCACAGGATATTGGCAATTTACTGCCAAGTCCAAGTTGGTGTGGCACCAAAAAGGAGTCAAAATTTCAGTAGAGGTGATAAGATGGAAAGCAGCAAATGCCGTGTTTGTTTACTTGAATGTTAATGAGGTTTGGGTGAGGAGATACGGCAGGGTTTGTCTCTCAAGAAACTAAAACTGCACCAATATGAAACATGTTGGTTTAAAAGGTGATAAAAGAGGTGTCCTAGCCTAGCTAGGCTAGGCTAACATTATTTGCTGTTGGCTTTATTTAATGTATTGTTTTAATAAATATTACAATATAAATACATATGTTTTTTGAAATTTAAAATGTAATGTAACATTAAAAATGTAGGAAGATAGCAAGTAGCTGACTCACCCATCTTTTAAGTGGCTCAGTCTCTAGTCTGATCTTGAGATAATAGCTACGTGGTTTCTTTACATGATGTAACTGATTCAGTGTGGACAGAAAGCTCTGATGTTACCCGATGCTACACAATAGTCAGTTTCTAGTTTTCTGTCAGGACACGGTGACATTACATTTGAGTTAAGCGGGACACCAAGTCAAATTTGGTATGCTAGTCTGGTCCAGTCAGGTCTTTGGCTTAACATCAAACTGGTTTAAAAATGTTCACACCGGCCTACTTTCAACAATACTTAAATCTATTTTGACCCAATGTCTTGCCCCTCACACCTTGGCCCCAACCCCCATTTTTCACCACAAGGTAGTGATTCTGTAAATTTTTCAGGTTATGACTGAACAGGCTACAGGGACTGACTGACTGCCACAGGCTCAGAAGGGAGCACCACCTCTTGACTGTGATTTTAGGAGGAGGCCCTAGCGTCTATATTCTGGGCAAGATTCAGATCTTTTTAAAACATAAATCATAAGAATTTTCATTTACTGTCAATTGTGAAGTACCATCATAGAGATAGAAACTAATACTAGCTCATATAGGGAAAGCCAATCAGGTAGCTGAATAAAAATTGTAAACAGAAGTTGACCGAGGATGGATCCCTGAGGTACTCGAAAGACTATTAGTGATGGTCTGGATGTTTTAACTGCAAAACAAATTCTTCTTTCTTTTTAACTTCTGTATTTTAAGTAAGAGGAAAACTAATCAGGAACAATCCCGGGATTGAGACAAACTGACCAAGCATCAAGGATTGGTAAAAGGGTATAAGAGGACTGAAACAGCACAACATACAAATGAACGGTATCCTGAGGTAAACTTCACCTGGAGAGCAGTTGGTAGCTTCATGACAGCACAGTAGATGTACAAGGCTTCTGTTCAGCTATAGTCTCACCACAGCATTAATTAGGGGCCGGGCAGCATAAGCTGCCAGGACCCTATTGTTTTGCTGCATGTTCTTCTTCTTCTTCCAAGGAAATCATACTTTCCATGTGCGAAAAATCACCAAACTTTGCACAAAGGTCCAGTCCCATGCCAGATTGCCTCAGCTGCAAAAACAGGCCAGTAGTCCTGATGGTGGCGCTACAGCAAGCCTCTAAAGTTCAAAATTTTGAAAATTCTCAACAAATCAACCCTATGTGCTACAGATTTACATCTTTCACCAAAATGTAGCCCCAATACTGTAGAAACTTTTGTACATTTAAACCTATTGCAAATTATGAAGTCCATCACTCTGTTTTTTTCAAAAACTGTAAAACTTATTAAACCTATCTCCTCACAAAATTTTTGCTCAATTGACACCAAACTTAATACAGAGCATCTTCAGACTGTCCTACACAAACGATCCACACAGATTTTTGATTTATCGAAAATTGAGCCTACAGTGCATCAAAATGTTTGAATAAACTATAAACGGTATTGTAAACATATACTTGCAAATTCTTACTAAATACATTTTCAATGTTCATTAAAACAAGGTCTTGAGGTCTTGAGTTTTTTCTTTCCTTTGTATTTTATGAGTCTGATCACTTCAGCCATTCATTCATTCATCCATCTTCTAACCGCTTCATCCTCTTGAGGGTCGCGGGGGGGGGGGGTACACCCTGGACAGGTCACCAGACTATCACAGGGCTGACACATAGAGACAAACAACCATTCACGCTCACATTCACACCTACGGACAATTTAGAGTTATCAATTAACTAATCTTTGGACTGAATTAACTAATCTTTGGACTGTGGGAGCACCCGGAGAGAACCCACGCTGACATGGGGAGAACATGCAAACTCCGCACAGAAGGGCTCCCACACCCGGGATCGAACTGGCAACCCTCTTGCTGTGAGGCGACAGTGCTAACCACCACACCACCGTGTCGCCCCTTCACTTCAGCCACTCATCCACAATTTGAAGGGCATGCCATAATTATATGATGTAACTTCTATGTTGTGATATGCTTTGTTTTAGTGTGTGTGTTGCTCAGAATTGCCTAATTTTGCCTAAAATTGCCCAGCGCCGACCATTGCTGCGCAGCAGCTATAATTCTTTCTAAAGAGGCCTCAATCTGAGAGATTAGAGATATGCTCAGAGCAGCTTGTTGATAAGCAGTTTAACTTGATGTGTTTACCCTAAAAAGAGAGTAAAAAAATTCTTACCATTGCCAGAGAATGATTCAGCCCTTATATTATGAGAAATGTCAAAGGTACAGCTCATGACAGAGTGAAGAACTTAAATTTGTACAATTCTGTTAAGTACAATCATAACGGTACCTTTGCATTTGTACTACATTAAACTGTTGTGGCTTCTAAAGGTTGTCAAGATGAACAGCGAGTTCCTATTTTCTCTCTTCCCTGCGTTCTCTCGTATTTAAAGGTCTTATTTGATTTTTCAGCTTTAAAGGTACAGTGGCATCTGTGAATGGTGGGGTAGTCTTAACTGAAATTACTGTAATATGGTAAAGGGTAAATGCACTTATAGCACTTTTAAACCTTCACAGAGTGTGCTGTTATATTTGACATTTCCTCTTTTCTGCTACTGTATGCTGAAAACCTCTAATCATTGCCATTTTGGGTTTGGTTGCCTAAATGAAGACAAATTGACTATTTTTTTGGCCATTACACCCTTGAATTTGGACAATACATTTCAAAGGATTTACTGAGCTGCTGGACTGCAAGACTCCTTTAAAGGTAGGTAGGCGCCATATCTCTAAAGTTTGAATTGCATACTCATTCATACACTGTACACAGATTATGTATATGATGTGGGCACTAAAAAAAGACCAAAAAGGTCATATCTATTGGTACATATGCTTCGTGTTCATATGAATATAAGTTTTTTATGGTACTGCTAATGTTCCACATATGCTAACACCCTGCAGGAGGAGCTGTGGGCGGTAGAAGGTTAATGGAGTTGTATATGTGTACATTGTTAACTGATGTAACTCTCACTCAATACCACTTGCTGCTGCAAAAGTTCAGTGTTCATCTCTTCTCAACCGCAAAGACAAAAACAGCAAACAATTCCACATACCACTGCAACAAGACACATGCACACAAGACGGAATGAAGTCAAGGCATTTGAATGAATAAATAAGTGTGCTTTCCCGACCCATGGCACATTTTTAATTGGCTAAAACATCTGTGTGTGTGTGTGTGTGTGTGTGTGTGTGTGTGTGTGTGTGTGTGTGTGTGTGTCTCGTACTGGGGTTTGCCTTTGGCCTGACACGTCAGTTCCAGGTTCTCTCCTTCCCTGGTCAGACCCTGAGGAAACTCTACCACGATCTTTACCTCCGGTTTGTCTGAAAGGAAAGAGAGAGACAGAGTATTGAATTCTGGGACAACATAACAGACAAGGCGTTATATATCTTCACTCTGCCTCTAGTTTCTACGGCTAACTTCTTTCTCATTGATTCCTATTTGCAGTCGTGCAGTTTGTAGCTGCCAAATGAGTACCAGGAATGTTTAAATGTTCGTTCTAACACAGCCCAGTCTCCTATAATGTCCATATGCAACAACTCCACATCAGGATTTACATTCAGCACTTCGAATTGTCAAACTTCCCCAAAGTTTTGATGTTTGGCTCGGCACATCCTAAGAGGTGCAGTAAGGATTCATGTCACATCAGGAGTGACATTAGGCACTGCTGTTCAGGCAGGGCACCGCAGTGGAGTGAATTATTTGCTGATTGGCATCAGCTGCTCTCCGTCAGGCTACCTGCTGACTGGTAGCATCCAATCATATTCATAGAGGTGTATAACACAGATATTTTAACCCGACTCCTCACATTATCACCCAGCTGATACGGACACATCAGCTGATCCTGCAGCCCCATCCACTATTAGTCCAGTTTTGCTGGAACAACCTTATGGTCAGACATGAGGTGTAGCTTTTGGTATATTGAATCTTTTTCAGTATATATATTAATAGAGTTAATTTGCGACTGGATGGCTATAGTGTTGTAGTCAGGGATTTGTTTTTCACTTTTTAAAAAAACACAGAATACACTGCTCACCATGGTCACAGAAACACTCCCTATAGGTTTAAGGAATAAATACAACAATAAGTGGAGAAGCAGCAGCAACAACAACAACAACAACAACAACAACAACAACAACAAGAAACAACAACCGTGACCTGCCCCAGCATGCCCCAGCTGCTGAACTTAAAGAAGAGGTCAGGTCAAGGTTATGTTGCTGTAAGGGAACTGTACTTTTATTATGACTGAGCTACAAGCCACACAAACATTTGCTCAGTCTGGGTCAATTTGACTTGACATTATGTCAACAGTAACATACATTCAAGGTGTTTTTTCCTTTACATCTCCCTGCTACTGCTGCCTTAACCTCAACCTGCTCTTCCATTGCATCAAATCACTCTTAAGCCGTGTTGGGTCTACCTTGGGCATAATATTGATGGAATTTTAAATCAACCTAACACCAAAACACGAGCCAAAGCTTTGGGGAGTGATAGATGTGCTGCAGTACAGAAACACAAGTAGCCCTGAGTATGTCCAAAGACGTTACCTGATAAAGTTGCTACACAAAACAGGAGACACTGTTGACGAGCTGAGGCAGCTGGAGAGAAAATGGAAGAATGTTGTTTTGACAATCAGTGGGGTGCTTTGACAGTCGCTGCTGTGCTATTCTTTGCAACCATGGAGTTTCTATTGTTCCCATTCCCTTGACTGTTGCTGGTGTTATCAAAGCCTTTTCTCATCTTGGTGTGAGAGATGATCCTTTATTCTGGACAAAAATGGAATGTTTTATTCAATCTATCATCCGGGTAAGGGATTGGATTCAGTGTTACTATGTACTTAAAGTAAGACTGAGGCAAAACAAACGCAACAGAAATCCTGCTTTGACTTACACCTTTTAAGGTACAAGAAAATCATGAATGAGGAGGAGCTGAAGAACAAGTAGCGTTCTATTCACCAAATGTATTAATTCCAATATCAAGGTGTGGAGGTACCTATTTGAAGTGCATTATCATACTTAAATGATATTATGTTAATTAAATCATTTATCCTGTCACCTAGGTGGAAACAGTTTATTAATGCACTGGTCAATTTTAAGATTTTGCGTCCATGAAATGTCCTCTCTCAGACTAGTGGAGAGAAAACATCCAAAACACACATTTAGGTATATTTTAGTTCTGATTTCTGTTTTGGAAATTTATGCAAAAAGTGCTTATTTAATTAGATAAGATAAGAATTAGATGCCTTGTTTGCATATTTAAACATAACATTTTAGAAAACTTGTAATAGAAAAAAACTAATTACTTAATATACATAGCCAGCTGGGAAAGTTTCATGATGACATCTATTAACATCAGAGTGGCACTGATTATAATCAAGGACTGAAACGTTTGCTGCTGTTTTTACTCAGATTTTATAATTTTTTTTTTTTTTTTTTTGCACTTGGAGCATTTTTTTGTGCACAGATGTCTTAAATAAATGTTTGCACTGATCTTAGCCTGCAGACCTCTCTGCGGCTTTCTAGCCCAATTACACTGGTGTGTGTACTTTTTTGATATCTGTTACCTAAAGCATTTTTCCCTATTCAATTTCAGTGTCTTATACCATTTTTTCACCATAATTAGTGTGGGTATGCAAGTATTTTAAACATAGAAAAAACCCACTGCAATAGAAGATAGACTCCATTCCCATTGCCAGTAGACCAGAGCTATGTACACAGAATATGCCTTTGACATCTTGGACAGGCTAGAAAACAGGTTAGCAAACAGTAGAAAGCAACATGGAGGCCAGTGAAAATGATACAGTGATTACTCCTTTTTCACATCCCTCGCTTATTCTGTCTCTCTCTCTTTCAAACTTGGTGCAGACTAATTTGGAACGATGTTCGAGTGCTGCTTGAATGGAGAAGGGCGGTATGTTGTGGCGGCCCATCATTGCATTGCGCCAACAAAGGGCCTAAAATTACCGCATCAACCCAATATGTCATATTTCCATCGCTGCCTATTGAGGCTGGAGCCAATGAATACCCTCGACAACTGCAATCATTTGACTCCGGAGTGAATGCCGATACGACCTTTACCATTACATAAAAAAGCCAGATGTTAGCGGTGCTAGTGGGAGTTTTGTGCAATGGGAAAGGGGCTATATTTTTGATCTAAAGTATGGCGTTTTACAGTACATATCTTCAGGAACATTGCCTAAAAATGTGGGGTTTTTTTTTCCCAACCTTTGAGCCAGAAATCTTCACTTCAGTAGCACACAGATTAAACTTTACATTTTATTCCTTTCTATATTTGTTAATATTTGTTAATTTGTTTTTTTTTTCTTTTAAGTCTGTTAACAGTATTTTCTTATTTAGGAATTTTTATTTAGGAAATTTAGTAACATTCCCTCTGTATAAACAGCCTGTTCTCATTCCCAGCTCGTTAAATACCACGCCTTGTCAGTGATTATGGTGTACGACACTGACAATACAATTTGCTGTTGAGTAGCGCCATTTATAATGCTGGCGGGTGGCCTCAGTTTGAAACACGGCTGGTAACAACGTAACATAAGGAGCTGGTAAGTCCCTATAGGGTGGGCAGGAGGGGAGGTAGGTGGGTCCAACAGACCCTGGGAGCCCGCTGTGTGCTTCCAGTATGAATGTTGAGTGAATCCATTATGGGTTTTTTTTTCTAAACCTAACCATGTGCTTTTGTTGAACAAGGGAGCAAACGTAAATACGAGGTGTTTTATCGATGATGGAAGTTTATTCTAAAAAAAAATATATTCATCTAGCAAGCAGAAACTGTACATATCCTGTGCATGTAAGAGGTGTAAATTGACACGGTGTCCCAGAACGTCAACAACAGACGCAACCAGGATACCTCACTGTATGTTGATGTCAAAAGTCCACTGAACAAGGGACGATATTTGATTTGAGTTCGGATGAGAATGTGTTGGTAAAAACCTTTGACTCTAATATGTCAGCTAAATGAAACAAGAGTTTTGGACCTGGCTTTATCCAATTTTTAGATTTTTGTCCTGGAAATGTATACAAATCTGCACATATTTAATTAGACAATGCCTCATTTGCATATTTAAACATTAATTTTGTGAAAATTGAATTAAAACATTTTGCAAGTGTATTCATTGTAAGAAAATCTATTAATAAAACATTGATCCCTTTATCAAAAGCAAGATTTGTATCACTAGCAGCTTTCTAAAACGATGGCCAACATTAGCTTAATTAACCTGAAGACCGCACTTGAATCCTTTCAGCACATGAAGCCCTCGCTTGTTTACTCCAAAATGTTATTTTGTTGACATTTTCCTACATTAGATGCTGTAGATAAGCACCTCTACATTTGAGTCATCTCACACCAGACTGATTGCTGAGTCACAATGGTGTAATTACAGTTTTTCGATTGTGATGTAAATTATTCTCGCTCTTTTCTCCACTTTTATAGCCTAAATGCACAGTTTGGTGCTTGCATTTTTAATCAGCCTGTAGACAGAGGGCCTGAGTTATGATTTCAAAGCCGGCTGTAAAGTTTCACACTGCTGTCCGACCTTCTCGGCAACAAACAACACGTGTCTGGCCATCCATCTGTCTAAATCACACCCTGCCAGTGGCCGGCTCTCAGTCTTGATGATGGACAGCAGATGGGCAAAAAGCCAAGTCTTCTGCTCAGTGGGCATGCACGGGTTTAGACAGCAACCCTTTGGTTTTGTTTCCACTGCAGGCACTACATGGCATCCTGCAACTTTTTCTTCGCTCACAACGTCATCTGACCTTGTCATCTCGGAGCCATAAACATGAAGGACGCCAGGCATCTGTAAGTTGTTTTGATAGCCTCAAGTAGTTATGTCGGAGCTTTCTTGTCTCTGCTTGATGGAAAAACACACACTGCACTGCCAGATCTGGATACTGCCACTTCAGTGGAAATGAAATAATATCTACAGTATGCAAGAGGGCCGTTATCATTATGCTAACTGAATTATTTGCTTTATTGTGCACCTCACCTCATAAGCACTCAAGACGGCACTATCCATCTCCTCGCAGCCGGCTGACCTTAAGGGAAAACCAACCAGGCAACGAAGCAAAACAGCTTGCTTTGCTTATGCACATAAACATTACAGGCTTATTTAATTATGCCATCCCCTGACAATGGCCTTTTTTGCTGGTTCTTACTACACAATGCACTTCATTCCACTCACAAATTGCCCACACAGTGAGTGATTGAAATGTAAATCACCTCGTCCATCAGTGTAATATACAATCGGTAAACAAACACAATGTGTCACTGTGTGGTAACAACAAAAAATCGCTTTAATTTACAGATC